TTGAGCATCAGTTTACCTAACCATACCTCAAGTAAAAATGATTACTGCCTGGGAAGGGAATCATAGAACCAGCCACATAAGAGACAAAAGTAGCCCATAACTGATATTTCCACATATGGTTGAATTCCCAGAGGTAAGCTGACAGAGAAGAGATATACAGATATATATCTTTAGTGTGTGTATATATATACATATCCATATATATGTATGTATATATACACACATATACACATATGTATTTGTATATATAGTATATATAGATATATACATCTATATATATGTAGTATATATAGATATATAGATATATACTAACTTTCCCCAGAGTTTTGCCAACTCCTTTTACTCTGGCTACAAATTATAACTCCCTCCAAAAAAAACATAATAACACATCACCAAATAATAGGGTACACAGTATAGCTTCAATCTGAAAGATTCGCTCCAAATCCTTAGAAAGAAAATATGTTTCTTAGCCGGGTATTTTACTTCCTTAAGAACCAGATGAAACCTTTTTTTTAATCTTCAGAAAGTTAAAGCTCATTTTCTGCATTTGTTATTTAGGATTCAATTATTCAATAGCATTATTTGAGGTGCCATTTGGTGAGAAACAACAGTATTGTATATAGACAGGAAACAATAATTAGAATTGCCCATCTAAGACAGTCAGAAAAAAATAACTTGATTACACATTGCCATAATTTGCACCTTATCCCTTGAAGAGTCACTTTTAGAAAGAGCTCTTTGAATGTGCAGAAAGAACAGTTCACTTATCTACTCGGTCACCAACCATTTATTAAACATCTATTGTACCAGAGGTTGGGAGAGGTACACAGTTTAAATAAGACACAGACCCTGTTTTCTTCCCCCAACTCCCAGTATAGTAGCAGAACAGTGAGATATAAACACTGATAGCTGTCATAGGCAACATTAGAGGGTCAATGCATCAGAGAGCTGCAAACCAAAATGCAATGTGGGTTCCCCGGGGGAAGATCATTAGCACCAGAAGAATGAGGTGGCATTTGTATTAGGCTTTAAGGAATTCAGCAGGAAAAAAAAGGGAAGGAAAGAAAACATCCTATATGTAAGGAGTAGCAAAAAAAAAGACAATGGCAGAAAAGAGCAAGGCAGCAAAGAGTCATCTAATTTGGCTTGGCTGCAGAATGCATGGAGGGCAATAGCATCAGAACCAGATGTCTTCTGAAAAGCTTAGTGCTAAAAAAGAAAGGGACCCAGCCCATATGCCGTGGAGACCCAAAGTTTAAGAAGAACTGAAAGATCACAAGTGGAAAAAGTTTAAGAAGTTCTGATATCAAGGACTCAGGAAGCCTTGGGGGGAAGGATAATGCTGAGGTTTATTTTCAAACCTAAAGCTACTATTTTGAGCTCATTTTTAACCAAGTGCATTTCCTAAGAAGAATGAGCTGTAACTACCCAGTATCTGGACAGTGAAAAGGTCGAAGAACAAAAAATATATGCACAGTAAAAGAAAGCAAAAGTGCTATAAAAGACAAGGAAACACTTTTAAAACTTATTTTGTTGCCATAGACTGCCAGGGGGCCTGAAATTGGCTGGATTCAAAAGTTCAATTTAGCAAATTACAGGGCGGTACTAAAGAGGTTCTAGGCAGACTTTGTAAGGGTGTCCAACAGAAGCAAGGGTAACCTGTAACCATTATCTGAAGTTGGCCCCTTGTCTACCGAGCCAGCTTTGTAATTGTCCTTCTTACCAATACCATTCTGTGTAGAAACTCCCAAAATAGAAAAGTGGTTATGTTAAGTAAGCTATTAAATGTAGCCAACTATTAAGGGCTCTTGTACATGGTAATTCTCAATATCCAGCAAAGAAACACCTGATGCATTCTTAGAACACCTGATAGAGACTGCCTGCCTGGTCCCATTTTGGGAAGCAAGTCTTCCTTTGAAATTTCTATCCATTACCTAATTTACAAGAATTACTTTAGTGTCTTTCAACTCATAGAATGTAGAAACCATGTCTTTAAAACCAGCAACAGTAGTAACAAAAAAATCCAAAACCTATTTCATTAATTTAAAAGATGATTGAAAATGACCAAAGTGTCTTAGGCTCTATTAAGAGATGTCATTTACCAAATCACTCATTCTACACAGGAGCACATATGCAGTGAGCATAGGGGATAGAGTGCTGGACCTGTAGCCAAGAATACCTGGTTTTACTTACTAGCTGTGTGACCTTGGGCAAGTCACTTAAGGTCTCTCAGCCTCAGTTTCTTAATTGGTAAAATTGTGTATAATAACAACATCTGCCCCACAGGGTTGTTATAGGTATCAAATTAGATAATGAAAATAAAGTACTTTGGGAAATCTTTAAATATCAGTTATCATCATCATCATTTTCTGAGATATTTTTTTCCTCACCCTTAAAGGGCAATCTCTGAATCTCCCTGAAGGATGAGAGACTGACAGAGCTGATGATTCTTTAGGGAGGTGAAGGATGTAAGAATAAGTGGGCTCTATGAATAAGCACCTAATGGGGGGAGGGGCTGCCGCAACAGTTTTTCAAATTCAAAGGTCGGAAATGTAAGTGTTGACTTCAGGCCCACATTCAAGACTTTCCATTCCTAAAGTGCCCCTTATACCATCCAAGGGCCAGAATTTCTCTTCAGTTTTAACCCTTTCTGCAAAGAAGAAACCTGTAAAAATGACAGGCTAACTCTAGAATGATTTCATCAGCACCTTCAGCCAAAGGGAAGTTGACAGAGGAGAGTCAGACAGAAATGATGGTCTTGATTTTTTTTCCCTCTTATTTCCAATACACCAGTATTTTCCAAAACAAAAATGCATTGCCGCTAAACACAGCTGAGCATCTCCACCCTATACAATGTATAATTAATGTGAGAGAGAGATAGAGACAAGAGAGACAGAAACAGAGAGATAGGGGGAGAGGGATAGAGAGAAAGGAGAGAAGGAGGGAGGAGAGAAAGAGAGAGAGAGTGAGAGAGTGAGAGAGAGAGAGAGAGGAGAGAGAGAAGAGAGGAGAGAGAGAGAGAGAGAGAGAGAGAGAGAGAGAGAAGAGAGAGAGAGAGAGAGAGAAATGTGTGTGTTTCAACACCTTTTCTTCCAGCTCACTGTAGAAAACCCCAAGATTCCCTATTCAGAAACAGTTCCAGCTGCCACAAGTTGTTGCTTTCTATGAAGTTTACAAGCTTCTTGGATTAACTTTGCTAAAGGAACTGTGGAGACTGGGGGCATGGACCTGTGTCTTTGTGATGTTTTTTAAGGTCTCCTTACACCCCCGCCCCAATATCCTTGGATTTCTGATTTAAGACTTGCTCTTTTCCTTCCTCCCAAAAAGGGGAATACTCAAACAGCCGTCTGGATCTTCCTCATCCCACCCAGTCACCTTTTTTTGTTCAATTTTCTTTTTCTCTAGCAGTTTCCTTTCAAAACCTGTCACCATCCCTCCAGTACCAGTGGGTGTCATTCGGGGGGTGGGGGGAAGAGGCCAAGGAACGCAGCATGGAGACAGGCCAGGCAAGCAGGCAGCCTAGCAACCATACATCACAAGGTGTGCGTGTGTGTGTGTGTGTGTGTGTGTGTGTGTGTGTGTGTGTGTGTGTCTGCGTATCCGCGGGTGTCCCTGTGCTAGGAATAACAATCCTACATTATTGCAGGTGTCATCCTAAAAAACGCCAAGAGGAAAGCTCTTCATGCTGACCGCTGCTGCCGGCCTTGGCGGACTCTCACAACCAACTCTAACCTTCCCAGGCTCCCAAGTTCTTGACCCCAGGCAACGATGGGGCAGCAAAGGTTAGGGACCCTCTCCTGGAGTAAAGGGAGGCAGAAGAATTAGCTAGCTGAAGATCATTAATAGAGTGTCCTCGGGATGGGGAGGGAGGGTAGAGAGTGGAAACAGGTGACTAATTAGACTGAGGATCTGACATTGCACTGCCTTCCCTCACCTTCCCTTCCTCCCCACCCCGCAAGACACCGTAAGCCCCAGTAACTGGTGAGGTTCTCCCCCTTGTCTTCGTCTTTTCCTTGCGACAACAGAGACACCGGTAAACAATCACAGTAAGTGGTGTGGTATCTTACCCCCCCCGCCCCCAGCCGCCAAGCTTCATACTCTCGGACCCAGCTGTCTAGGGTCATGCTCTTCCTTCAAGCCTCGACCTCTCCCGCCCCGATAGTGGATTTTAGCTTTCTGCCAGACCGTTCAGATCTCATTTTTCCAAGCAATTCCCAAAGACTACTCTTATGGCTTTCCTCCTCTGTTACTGAATGACCCTGCATTAACAAGCACAGCCCGTCAAACATGTTTCTTCCCTTCCTTTCGCGGGTTCCGCGAGCATGCGACTCTCTCTACCCAACCGTGGCGAATCAAGGAGCGCTCTCCCCCAAGCCTGCCAGGGGAAAGCCCCAGGAGAGAGGGTACTACCCGCGGCTGCCGCGAGTGACCCTACAATAAACAAGTGCACCGGGAGAGCAGCCCTCTTCCCACAAGCAGCCCAAACCCGCCGCACTGGGGGATGGAGGGGATTTCTGAGTCCTGGAGAGCGCACGCCGAAGGCAAAGATAACAGAAGCAGTAACATAGCCATGCTTTAAATTCTACCCCGCAAAAAAACCCAGGAACCCCCAACTAGAAGGGGGCAGATGGGGTATAATAGAAGAGCGGAGGAAGGAATAGAAGATGGAAAGGGGGAGAAAGAGGGATGGAAGAGGAGAAGGGAGGAAGGAAAAGAGGAGAAAAAGCAAAAGGGGAATGGAAAAGAACTGAGGAAAAGCTAAAGAAGAGGGCATAAGGCAAAGGGGTGAAAAAGAAGAGCAAAGGACGAGACGAGGCAGAAGAAGAGAGAAGACGAGGGAAGCGAGAGCTAAAAGGAAGCAGGTGTTGGAGAGGGAAAAGCAGATGAAGAAGGAGGGAAGGGGAGAAGACCTGGGCAGGGGAGAGTGGGCAGGGGCAGGGCGATTCGGACGAAGGGCTCTCTCCGGAGCCGGTGGGTTAGGGGACCGGGGGGCGCGTTACCTTGCTCTTGCCCCCGCAGTGGCAGCAGACGGTCCACAGGTACTTGAGCGTCCGCCAGAGCAAGATGATGAAAAGGCCCCCGAAAAAAGTCACCATGGAGGAGGCCAGGAAAGCCCACCACATGCGCTGGCCGCGGCTGTCGCACGGCACCTCCATGGTCACCGGGATGATAAGCGCATCCATCTTGGGCTCGTGGACCGAGGAAGAGGACGAGGAGGAGGAGGAAGAAGAAGAAGAAGAGGAGGAGGACGCGTCTAGGCTGAGATGGTTCGCGTGGATATTGCTACTCATTCTAAGACTGCTGCCGCCTCCGCCGCCGCCGCCGCCGCCGCCGCCGCCGCCACCATTTGCCATAACTAGCAATGGGCAGGAGGCGCAGGGGCTCCGGGGAGCTCCTCCCGCCGCCAGCGCCACCCCAAACACCCATCAACAGCCATATTGCTATTGCTGCTGCTGCTGCTGCTGCGGCCGGGCGCGGGGGGGGGGGCGAGGGAGGGGCGTTGGAGGGAGGGAGGGGGGACAAGCAGCAGGCGGGAGGCAGCAAGCGGGCAGCGGCTGGGCGGCCGGGTGCCGCCTGGGAGCGGCTAGGGCTGCGGCTCGGGAGCCGAGGGGGCCTCCCCCTCCTGTCCGGCTGCCCGAAGGGGGATGGAGCGCGCCGGGTCAGGCCCCCGGCCCCTGGCTAGCTCGTGCGCACCGTTGGGTGGGGGCCCCCGTGCGCCCCTGGTCCAGGGAGGGCGGCCGCAGACCCGCCGCCGCCCGTGTTCCTGCTCGGAGGCTGAGCTAGAGGGTCTCACAGCCCCGGGCCGGCCTCTGCGCTGCTGCGCGCCCGCCCTCCGGGCCCCGGCTGCCCCTGCACTCCGGCTGCCCAGCTGACTCGCCCCCTCGCCTCCTGCCTCCCTGACTCTCGCAGCTAATGAGCTGTTGTTATTATTATTAGTCTCGAACTTGTTAATAATATAAATCAGCTCCCCCCCTCCTTCTCCTCTTTCCCCTCCCTCCTCCTCCCTCACCGCCCTCCCCCAGGGCCCAGCCCCCGCCTCCCCCGCCGCCGCTGCTGCCGCCTCCTCCACCCCCTCTCTGGGGCTCTTCTTCTCGCCCCTCGCCTCTCGCCTTTCGCCTCTCTTCTGGTCTCTCGCCCGACAGGCAGCAGCCTCCGCGGCGGGTTCAGTACATGCTCCGCTTCTCGCCCTTCTGCGACGCTGCCGCCACGGCTGCCTCCTAGGCCATTCTCCCGGGGGTCCCCTGGGGTCGCCGCCGCCACGACTCCTCTTTCTCTGCTTGGGCTTTCTCCTCCAACTCCGCCGCAGCCGCAGCCAGTGCCTCCTGGGCTCACGCCTGGCACCTAGTCGGCCCGCTCTCCTCCTCCTCCTCCTCTTCTTCCTCCTCCTCCGCCTCCCCTCCGCCGCCGCCTCCAGCAGCAGCAGCAGCAGGAGCAGCAGCTACTGGAGCGGGCGCGAGCTGTGCCCGACTGAGGGGAGGAGGGGAAGCAAGCAGAGGGGAGGAGGAGAAAGGCGCTGGTTCCACGGCCCCGGGCCGGGGAGGGGGGACCCGGCCTGTTTCCATCCTCACTTGGTGGTCCCTTGAGGACCCAATCAAGCCAGACAGACGCGACACCAGTCTCACGCTGGGCCCCGGGGCTACTATAAACCTCTCTCCAAGGTGCTGCGCCCCCACCCCCCTGCGGCCCCGGGACCACCTGAGCCAAGTACCCTGGGACAAGGCAGGGAGAGGGAGAAGAGAAGAAACAAACTGTGAGGCATGGGTGAAGTTTTATAGGATCCTCAAGCTCAGAAGGTAAAGAAAACCTCAGGAAGGACCCCCACCCCCGTACAGTCATACAGTTCAGGCAACTGAACTAGAGATGCCTGCCCCACCACCGCCACCCCAGAGCAAGCATTCCCTGGACAGACACATTAGCTGCATTTTGATACCACGAGCCAAGGTAGGACTGGGTTCCGAGGAACTGAACCTAGCGTGGAGGTTGAAGGGACCGACTGAGTGAGGAAAACCAGAGGTAAAATCAAGTGGTTTCCTCTGCCGTTCTTTCTTTTTATTAGATGATTAGAGAAAGGGAAGAGGGATGCCTCTCCAGTAAGGGACTGGCTTCCATAGACTCCCCCTAGGAACTTCCCCCGATTACAAGAGAAGTTATTTACTACGGGACCCAGGCTTGAGGGTAAGGGAGGAGGAGAATTGTATGGCCCTGGTGATCCTGCCACATAGCCAAGGGAGACCAGAGTGGCACAGAGGAAAGACCATTGGATTTGGAAACCATTGGCTTTGGTTTGAATGTTTTGTCTGCCATTTACTATCTCTGTGATCTTGGACAAGTAAGCTATTTGACCTTTCTGTGCCTCGGTTTCTTCCATTGTAAAATGAGGGTGTTCTACCTCTAAACCTATGGTCCTATGACCGGACCTACTGAAAAATGTAAATGGCCAGGTCTTTTTGAAATACCACAAACATTCTTACTTCCCGCCTACTTCCACTCTCACCCCCCAAAAGCCTCAGGTTTCCTCTATCCAAAGCCAGCATGTTACTGGATTAATTTATAGAATTCTTTTAATGGGGAGTGCTTGAGCTGATTCACACTAGTCTGCCCCATGGCCCTAAGCCTCATCACTTCCCCAGACTCCATGAGCAGAGCTGTAGCCAGGACTGTATGGAATTCTCCCAATGAACAGGGACACCCCTATTTCAAAAATATGTCTGGTCATCTAATTTCTTTTCCTTTATCTCTCAGGATGTAGTTTGGGGAAAGTAGGGGCAGCTAGGTGGCCCAGTGGACAGAGTGTTAGGCTTAGAGTCATAAAGGCTCATCTTCCTGAGTTCAAATCTGGCCTTAGATGTTTATTAGCTATGTGACCTTGAGCAAATCACTTAACCACGCTTGCCTCAGTTCCTCATCAGTAAAATGAGCTGGAGAAGGAAGTGGCAAACCACTTCGGTATTTTTGTCAGGAAGACTCCAAATGGGGTCACAAAGAGTTGGACACAACTGAACAACAACTAGTCTGCATATAGGAGAGGAGGGTGGGATGGGATTGGCCCTGCAGGTTCCCTCTATGCTTAACTTTCTAAGACAATTTGGTGTCTCATCTGCACACCAATTTATGATAAAAAGGGACAATCCTGGGGTGGCATAATTATAATCAATCCCTAATCAATCTTGCTTCAACTAAGCACTTCCTCTCTCCCATGTCCCTTTGGGACCTTGTCCACTCGCAGACCCAGCTTTTCCTTATATTCCCAGCCACAAGATCTTACAGAGCTAATTAAGAGAAAGCGAATTTCTCCCCCCTAATTGCCCAGAGTGGTTTCCCAAAAGTTTCCAGCTCATTAATTTAAGCCTAATTAGACTGATCGGGTTCCTTTCATCTTTTCAGGGTAGAAACCTGCTTACTGAATTAGGGTCCAGGTTGGTTTTCCTAACAGTATAGTCTAAGGGGTTGCGTTTTCTTTTAACATCTGCTTCTTCCTCTGTATGGTTAAGCATCACACCACAAGAAAATGAAAAATAAGAAGAGGGATAGTGGGTAAGGGTGGGCAGCTAGGTGGTACAGTGGATAGAGTACTGGGCCTAGAATCAGGAAAACCTGAGTTCAAATCTGACCTTAGACACATCTGTGTGACCATGGCAAGTCAACTCTGTTGTTGGCCTCAGTTTCTTTGTCTGTAAAAAGAGCTGGAGAAGGAAATGGCAAACCACTCCAGTGTCTTTGCCAAGAAAACTCTAAATGGGGTCATGAAGATTCAGACACAACTGAAAACTGGACCACAAAAATAGTGAATAAGAGCAATGAATTGTCCTGCTTAGGTCTTTTTTAAAAATTTCACTGAAATTAATGCATATTTTAAATGTTTTTCTTAGTTTAATTCACAGCCAAGACTAATTCTCCCATTTGAAAAGTGGCAAGAACCACCACTGAAGGACAAGATAGGGTATAGGGAAAGGAACAGAATTAAATGGAGCCCATAGGGTTATAGAAGCAACAGTTTAGGAGAAATTTGTCCCATGGGCAAAGCAGCATAAGAGAAGCAAAGACACCTTTCTTCAGAGAGGAGAGCTGCTTGGAAAAACTCACTCTCAATGGCTCTTACCTCATGCAGGTGGCATCTCTAAATCGACGTGCCATGGACAGGACTCACTCTCAGAATATCTCTGCAACACAAAATTTCTTCATTGGAAGGGACTTCAGAGTTTCTATCTGAATAAGAATCACTTCTACAAACGTGTGTAACAAATGGGGAGCCTGTTCTAGAGGATTTCACCTCGGAGAAGTCTTAGTGCAGCCCCTTCAACTAGGATAGTTCTAACTGCTGGGAAGTTTGGGGGGATTGTTTTTGGCCACATGGTGTAGAAATCCCGTCTCTCTCCAGATTCCATCCATTGCTCCTATCTCTGCATTCTATGGCCAAGTGGAACAAATCTTATCCTACTTCCGTAGGATACTACTTCAGACATTTGAAGGAGACAATTTGCCTTTCCTCCTCACCCCCTAGTCTTGTGTTCTCTAGGTATCCACCATATCTCTCCCATAAGAAGGATCCATGTACTACACAGCCCTGGCTTATGGCTGGAGGCTGAAACGAAGTGCTGCATGTATGTGAGGAAGAAAACCTCGCAGCAAGCAAGCTAATTTATTTAGTATGCTTCTCCAAGGCTGTTCTTTGAAAACAACCTTAGCTGTTATGCTTCAGGACTCAAGAATTAGCACTAAGGACATTTCTTAACTCAATTCCAAGATTTTAAAAACTTTATTTTTAAAAAAATACACACAAGACTTAAACAGTAGTGAAAGAGAAGAACTTCTCCATACTGATACATGGTAACCCCAAAAGATACTGCCACATTTCCCAATGGTCAAACCAATGGAGGGGGGAAAAATCACAGGGATTAGAGGTCACAGCCTCAGGGTTAGCCCCAAATATATACAGATGGAGAATTGCCTATCTCCCCTTCTGTGGAGGGTTGAGAGAGCCCCGATCACCCTCCTTCCCCGGATCTCCTCATCACCTCTATCTTAGTTGCTCTGAGCTTTTAAACAAGCTCACTGATGTCATCCATATCCCTAATTCAGATTAGTTGCCAAGTGTCTCATTGGGTATTGGCATACCATTTTAAAGCTGCCATGATTCCCAAGGATCTCACCAATGCCCTGACTGACTTAATGTACATATTGGGCAAAAGGCGATCATCATCCAGGATTTAAGGTGGCATAGTTCCTTCCATTATCACCCTCTGCTCCCTTCCCATGGTGTAGTGGAAATAAGGCTGGGTTTAGGTCAGAAGAGACGAAGGTTCAAATTCTGCTTCTGACACTGACAGTGTGACATCGGGCAACATATTAAAGTGGACAGAATGCTGGACCTGGACTCAGGAAGATCAAATCCTGCCTTTGACACTTGTAAGTCATGTGATTATGGACAAGTCACTTGGCCTTTCTGGGCTTCAGTTTCCTCACCTGT